TCCTCCTTTCCTCCATTTTATTGTCATAATAACCCTGAGGCAGGTTAGGCTGAGTGCGTGACTGGCCCAAGGTCACCCAGCAAACTTCCATGGCAGAGTGGAGATTCAAACCTCGGTCTCCCAGATCCTAGTCTGACACTCTTAATCACTGGACCACATGCTGGCTCTCTTGCAAACAGTGAGAGCTTATAGAATCGCAGCTGTGCCTGTCATCGAGCTTCCAGATCACCTTGGACCACTGGGGAGAAAATGGGCTGATTAGTTGCTGGAAACCAATAGCTCAGCCCAAGGAACTCTAACTGGCTGAATGAGGAAGTCTGCTCCTACTGTGGACCACAGTTACCTCCAGTGTAAAATTTGACAGAAAGAGACCACCATGGCTCTGCATACATAGGCAGTAGTGGTTTTTCAACTGAATACCAGGCATTTTTTGTGATGCTGGCTGCTTTGTGTTTCTGTGAGCAGCTCAGAAAGTTTTCCTTCTAGTCCATGCTCAGCTGACATGTCTCTAGAAGTTATTAACCAATAAGGAAGTTTGTTCTTGTTGTTGGCACCAAGTCTGTTCCAATCAAGGAGTGAGATTGACTAGAACTTTTATCAGGTCCTTTTGAGTTGTGGCTCTATAGAATCAGCTACCCTCCAAGATCTGACCTTGTAGGCCATGTACAGATAATACACACATTTTATTTAAACTTCCTTTGAAAGGAGAACAAAGTTTGAGTCCAGTGTCATAAATCTGAACCACAGTTCCTACATTCAGCTTTTGTGTGCATATACCCAGAATAAAATTTTGTTGGTCATAAAGGTGCCCACTGGATTCAAACTTTGTTCTGCTGCTTCAGACCAATGCGGCTACCCACCTGGATCTTGCTTTTAAAGTGTAAAAAAAAAGGTAAAGGTTCCCTTGCTCGAAAGCCAGTCGAATCCGACTCTAGGGTTGCAGTGCTCATCTCCGTTTCAAAGCCAAAGAGCCAGCGCTGTCCAAAGATGTTTCCGTGGTCATGTGGCCAGCATGACTAAACACCAAGGCGCACGGAACGCTGTTACCTTCCCACCGAAGTGGTACCTATTTATTTACTTGCAAGTTCTTGCTTTCGAACTGCTAGGTTGGCAGGAGCTGGAACTAGAGATGGGAGCTCACTCCATCATGCGGCACCGGGTCTCGAACTGCTGAACTACTGACCTTCCACAGCCTGCAGTTCAGCTTCTTAACCACTTGAGCCACCGCAGCTCATTTTAAAGTGTAGTTGATAACAATTTTGGCTGCATTGTTCAATAATATGAAAAGACAGAAGTTTCTATGGAATATCTGCAGCTTGTCATAGAGGAGCATTGAAAACAGGCTGCCCAGTATATACTGAGGAAGGAGGGGAAGCCATGGAGCATTCAGAAATGTGAATGGAAACAGGGGTCATGTTGCTGAGGTTTGAGAGCTGCTCCATTAGGATATGTATCTCATGAATGGTCTTAATATCTACATGATTTCCAGTTGTCTTTTTTCAAAGGGCAGCAAAACAGGTTTTTAGACTTTATGCCCACTTACTTTTTTACTTGCGGAAATTCGAAAGGTTCTTGATTGTGAAGACAGTCATAATGGTCACTATCCATACTACTGCTCTGTGATTTGAATGAGGATTTAAACAGGATTCCTTTTCTGTAAGTTTTTCTTGCATCTTGTCCCTGTGGACCTACTTCCCCTTTAAGAGTACCATCCATTTGTAACAGTAGTTGTGTTACCAAGGTAACGATTTGTTGTTTTGGCATGATTCTTTTATTTACATAGTTAAACTTTATGTTAACTGTATTGGATGTTGTTGTATATATGGGCTGCATTTTATCTGATACTGTACACTGCCTTGAAATTTGTACCATACTTAAATTTTTTAAATAAATACATAGAATAAGTGCTTGAGATAGTGCACCCTAACTCATGATGGCACAAAATTTTGAAACTGTGTGTGTGAAAGCATGCATTTTTATACTTCAGACGCCCCTGACCCCATGTTGAGTTGGACCAAGTAACTCTGGAGTTTGGGCCGGTTCAATATGGGATGCCCACTGCTTTGAATGATCATCGGCATCCTTATCTCTTTTCCATTATTCTAAATTTTCCTGATGGCACAGATAGGGAAATTACACAGGGGAATTGTTTGTGACAGCATCTGGGGTCATCAGTAACCATGGGGAATGATGTTTTTATTGTTCCTGGTACCCTGAGAGACATCTGAGCCATGGAACTTTTTAGATGCCCCAGTGTCTGTGACGTTGCTGAGAGCCATTACTACTGTTTTCAGGTGGACAGATGTGTGTGTTTTGGGACCGAGGTTGTATCAAGGGTTGTCAGCCTCCAGGCAGAGACGGAGGATATCCTGGAATTACAACTGATCTCCAGACTACATACATCACTTTATTTATTATTTATTTATGTAAAGCATTTATCCCACTTCTCCTAAAGAAAACGGGGGCTTTGGAAGGTGGACTCCATGGATTATGCCCTACTGAGGCCCCTCCCCTCTCTAAACCCCTCATCCTCTCCCAGGCTCCACCCTCAAATCTCCAGGTATTTCTCAATGCCTGATGACATATTAAGAGCGTGATAGGTCCTCAATCACAAAGGACCACCAATAATTCATGAAAAATGCCCCTAAAGACAATAATCTTTACAAATAACAGAATATTTATTACCAATAACTTTAAAAAAGATTACATCTTCTAGATCACTGATAAATATCATTTACACTGGGGAGAAAAACTACATAGGCTTTTTTTCTTTCATTTTATTTCTTTTGTGGATTTTTTTGTTCCATTTTTGTTTTTACATAGAAGTAACCATATCAAACTAAGAAAGGAACACAGCTTGAAATACTGACAATATTTCTCTGGTTAACACCCCCGACTTACACAAGTGGAATCCTGATTATGAGTTACTGAATAAATATATTTTTGAAAGGTTTAAAAGTTTAAAAGTTAGCTTGTATCATTTTGGAGCAAAAAAAGACTAAGTTACAGGCAAATTTAAGCTTTCCAGAAGAACAAATCATAAACCTCTGCAGTGTATTTTTTAAGACTTGGAAAAATTAATTTAAAAATTCCACTGCCATTTTAAGGATCCTTTCTCCCATTAGAACTACACTTACAAAAGTTTCCCGTAATAACAAACTTTGTCATATTAATATATTTTTTCTTGTAAATTTTGTTCCAGAACTGAGTCATCTCTGGTGCACGCACAGAGTCCCGCGAACGCAGGCTGCCCCTGCTTGTGTAGAACGTCATGTGTGCATGAAACGTCCCGCATGCACACTGAAGTCACTGGACCAGGCATTCCACAAACTCTGATCCAGCAGAATTCTTGCTGGAATGAGTGAAAGCTGCATGAGAAAACTATGTGGTGGACTGAAGTCAAGGACACATCTGAATATGGTTTTATAAACACGCTGGATATGTATAAAGAGTAGAGCTGTCAAGAAAATGCAACCTTGATCTTCAGAGCATGCTTAAGATGATAGGCTGTATTCCCTTGTGCCCAACGGAAAGCCTGGAGGATTTGAAGTCTTAAAACGAAAGAATTATTTAGAAGTGCATAGAGACACCCAGACATACATATGATTTTTAATGGAAAAAAGCCTTTTTAGAGAGGTATTCACTAGAACATTATTTATTAGATTTAGTTTTATGTCCTATACTCAAACAAGATCATATAAACATATATCATTTTGTAATTAATTTATGAAACCAATCTATAGAGAACTACAGTTGACATGTACCTGTTAAAAGAAATACATATTCAGACATGGAAATCAGGATAAGTCTATTTCATTTTCAGTCTCAAAGACTTGCAATATCCCAATTAAAATGGTGCAAACCCAGAATAACATCAGTTGTTCAACAGGTGGGATTTCAGATTTTACCACATTTAGAAACTTATTCTTTGCTATAGCAGCTTCTGGTTTACATTACAATAGTGATGACAAATACATGAAATTACCATTAATTTGAAATGTTAGATTTTAGGAACAGCTAAATCAGTACATCAAAATAAAATTTAAAAAACCCCCAAAACCTTGCTGTCCATCATTAAAACACTGGCTAGATGATCTTATGCAGTTTATTTATACAAACTGAAAAGCAATTAAAGATAGTTTGGATTTGTTTCGGATGTTTGATCCAATATGGAATATTTTGTGTCAAAAGTGCTGGATTTAACCAAGACCATCCAAATAGTTTTAAATGGTGGCATGAAAAGTTTCACAGATACAGGTATCCTCCCTCCCCCACCCTTCTCTCTCTCGATCGGTTTCATCGCCACGGTGCCGGATACGCTATTATCCAGCAGCTCACTCCTTTTTCTTCCATTTGGGAGTTACTGGTGCAGCAAGTGCCTGAATAGAGGGAGCTACTAAATCACCTTATACGAGATGGAGGAGTGCATCCCCCAATCAGCAACAGCCTGGAATATTGCAATCTATACCAGGATGAGGAACTGAGAGGAGCAGGTTGTTTGTAGAACACCTATTTCATGCACACTGGATGCGCTCTGGATGCCCTGAAGGATAAACCAAGACCAAAACAGCTTTGCTAGAGCATACTCTTGTAAAACTATACAATCAATCTGAAACCAATGTACTGAGAGCTCTGAGCTTACAGCCATAGAACATTCCAAAAAAGAATATATCTTTGTAACGATAATGTCATCAATAGCATTTTATAGCAGAGGGAAAAGAAATTAATATCTACATCATATGTTAACTTTAAAAAAGTCTATAAAACACTAAATATATAATAAAAAATATGCATATAAGGACATATGTAAACTGCTTTGGTAACATCATATTACAGATGTTTTCAGTGCATTGCAGAGTTTCCAAGGAAACTTCAGACAAAGCTATATTTGCTTTGAGGAAGTACTGTATAATGCCATTCCTAGAGAAGCATAAAACATTTTCTTTCCAGTAGTAAGATGTACTTGAACAACAATATTACTTAGTACTGGGTGTCTTCAAAACAACTAGCTAAATGTTGCTTATATTATAAACAGGAAGTCCTTCAGATAATTTTTGTCATAAACTTGATCTAGCTGTGAGGGAAATCATTATTGTGCTGATGGCTGACAATGTACAAGCATTTGAAGTAGAAGCGCCCGACCCTCTGGCGTATGCATCTGTGAGAAGGGGGGGAAAAGCAAGAGGTTCAATATATTGTAGCTTCATATACATTTATTAATTCAAACATCCCCAGCTAAATACCAAAGATAAAATAGCAAGCCACAGATCCCCCACCCAAAGATGCCTGCCATTTAAACTCCCTCAAAAACCCTGGCAAATAGGCAGGCCTCACAACCCTTCCTGAAAATCTCCATGGACCCCCCCCTTCAGGGAGCACATTCCACAGAGCTGGAGCCATGATGGAGAAGGCCTGGGCTCTGCTTGATGCCAGATGGGCCACCCTAAGTAGTGGGATAGACAGGAGATGGCTGCCTGATGACTGTAGCTGGTGCACAGGGACATAAGAAGGAGACAGTCCTTCAAATATGTGGTTTTCTGGGTCATGAAAGGCTTTCAAGGTCATAATCAGCACCTTGAACTGAACTTGGAAACAGACTGGCAACCAGTGTCACCGTTTCAAAATGGGCAGCATATGTTTCCGGAGGCTAGCTGAACAACAATTGGGCTGCCACATTCTGGACCAGTTGTAGTTTCCGGGCTGTCTTCAAGGGCAGCCCCACAGAGAGCGTGTTGCAGTAATTCAGCTGTGAGGTTACAGAAGCTAGGATCTGCGTGGCCACATGAGCTGAGTCTAGGTAATGAGAGAGCGGGTGAATCAGATGCAGCTGACAGAAGGCGCTCCTGGCCACCATGCCAACCTGCTTTTCAGACAGCAAGGCAATGCCCATCAACATGAACAAACAATATTAATAGAAGTTAAGATGGTGATTAATATAAAAAATAAGTGGCAGATATGGGGATAATTAAATGTCTAAGTCTTTTGTTTTTGGCTCCGTGTTAGATAATTTGGAAAATTTCATAAATATAATACAGGAGTAAAAAAGGTATGAAATGCGCGATATGTAACTTCATTGGAATAACATCAGATATAAGAGATTAATGAATTTATTATGATTTTGTAGATGTGCCTAAAATTATGTACTTGTATTTCTTTTTTTGTTGTTGTTTTGTTTTGAAAATTAATAAATAGATTATTTAAAAAAACACGAACAAACAATATTCATGCTTCAAATTAACAAGGCTCCTTCATTGAAAAACTTTCTATAATGCATTTTTTTTTGTAAAATACCTTTGTATTATAAGAAGAAACAAACCCCTCAGGATACCTCCTCTACAGTCCTCCACCCGTATGCCAGAACAAAGAGTTACTGCACAAACAAACTTCCCTATTCACTTAAGTGGAGGAAGGAAGAAGAAGAAGAAGAGATTGGATGTATACCCCACACTTCACTGCCCGAAGGAGTCTCAGAGGGGTTTACAATCTCCTTCCTGTCCCCTCCCCACAACAGACACCCTGTGAGGTAGGTGGGGCTGAGAGAGCTCTTTTGAGGACTGCTCTTGACAGAACAACTCTGGAAGAACTTGTAACTGACCCAAGGTCACACCAGCAGCGGCCACTTGCATAAAGATGTACTCAGACAGAGTAATTCCATTATTCTTTCTTTCATATTTCTGCTATCTGCAGAGCTCTTACAACTATAAGACTATTGGATGGCAAGGCTACAAACCACTTATAGGCAGAATGGCATGTGGCAAGAGGAGCTGCACTTCACAGGGGGAACTGGGTTAAATCACTCCCCTTGTTCTTTTTCTGAGCAGCGTGAATAGTCCAGCTAACCTGAGCTTGTTGGCCACGGTCAGTACTTGGATGAGAGACAACCAAGGAAGACTGGGGCTGCCATGCAGAGGAAGGCAAGAGCAAACCTCTGGTTCTCTCTTGCCTGAAACACCCTTGTGGTTGAGACTCTACGGCATGTTCTTCCACTCTTGCTCTTGTATTAGTGTAGACTAAGGTCTGCTGAGTTTTCTTCACTTGTGCAGGACCAAAGGAGAGCCCATTTCTCTTCAGCACTGCAGGTTGGATCCAGCCAGCTATTTCACTCAGCCTCAACAACAAATTAAGACTGGAAATCTGGTGGACGAATTTGTAAGAAGTCTTTGACTACTAGGTGCTTCAGTGGACTGGAGATTGTTACTCCACATGAGCTGGGATTCTAAACCTTGGTTTAACCCAGGTCTAAATTTTCAGCTTGTGTGAAGAAAATCCAACTGACCAAAGAACCTAAATTTGGACTTCACAATGGTCTGGAGTTTGATCAAACTGTCAATTCTCTTTGTACAAAGGAAGCTGGCAAGAGTGAGGGACACAGGCTAGCACAGTGACAAATGGTCCAGTTGGAGTTTAATTGGAACTGTGCTGGAAACTCTCATGAAATCCAAATGGCCATAGGAAAATATGAAAATATTGATCTTACTTGATATCTTTGGAATTCGGATTTGTTCACTGCTATTTCCATCTCCTCCATCACTAAATGGCTTTATTTCTACAATGTAATCTTCATCAAAAGGCAGCGAGAGCTCCACAGATGTTTTGTTTGTTTCTATAACAGATGTACTGCTTTGTCTGTTCCATCTGTATAAAACCTAGAAGACATTGCAAAGGCAGAGAAAGAAGCGAAGAGAGACAATCACTGAACTAGCCATTAATGTAAGAACAAGGAGGTGTCTCAGAGTTAAACTGCATCCTTGATTTGCCTTCAGCCTTTCCTAAAGATCAGGAAACTTAATTTGTTTAAAATGTAAATCCTGACACTAGATCTCACTTACCAACTGAGGAAAGGAGAAAGATAAAAGGAGGAAAGACTAAGAATACCCTTGGAAATGGCCTCTGTTTCTAATGCTATAATAATAGTTGAGCAACCCTCACATTTCCCAAAGAAAATCTGTGTCCTGATATTCCAGAAGCCATGTGGCTCTGGGCTTGCTGTACCTAAGCAGTGTATGAGATTAGGAGACACCACACATACTTAACTTTCCTTTTTTAAAGCTTTTCCTCCAAGGATTACGCAAGATGAGATGAAGATCACAAACCTCAATCAATCTGTGGAAGCTAAATTACAACTGGACAGGAGGACCCCGATTCTGATTCAGGACACGTGAGAAGGGCAAAGAAGGGCTGCGGTCACACGGAGCATTAGCCACGCTACAGAGATGGAAGATAGGCGGATTTTCCAGGCGCGATCACACCGCAACATCTGGGAAGCATAGAGCTCCCGTGGCTAACCCAAGGCTTCCTGCCGAAGATGTGGCGTAAAAAACTAGTACCTCCGAGGTACTAGTTTCCGGAAACCGCGGGGCAAGGGCGGGCGTCTGATCACATTTCTGGTGGTAGTTCGTGGCATCCGGCGGCCACCCATGTCCTGTCGCAAAAAGGTTTTCCCCCCCAAGTCTCCACGGGATGCGCACAAGCACCCAACGGTGCATGCGCACACTTCGTTTTTTAAAAAAAACACAACCCTGTTTGCCACGGCAGCGACGCCGAGCCATTGCTGCTGTGATCACGCTGCGCCGCTTCTTTGCCGCGCCGCAGGATTGTCGTGTGATCAGCACCTCCCCCTGAACCACGGGACGTCAGCAGGACGTGTGATCCGGCGGCCGCGCGTTAGTTTGCTCCGGGGCAAACAGCCGCGCTCCCCCCCCCCGCATTTTCCGGCCCAATGTTTAACTTTTCTATCATATGTTCCCACTAATTCAAGCCAGCCCCTATGCTGTTATTTACCTTTTAAAGGATTAAAAAACCCTGCCTTTTCTTTAAAGGGACAACTAGGAGTGGAGTGATTTTGGCTGGGTAAATTATGCAGGTGTGATCTGAATGAGGATCCCATGCAGCTATTAAAGTTGACTGTAGATCTGTAACCTCCGTCTTGTCTAGTCTGACCCTCATTCTCATCGGCTTTGTGAAATCAGAGGTGTTCAGGCAGTTTTACCTTTCCCAGCTTCAAAACACTTGTGGGGATTTCACCAAATAATAATTTTAAAAATCCCTCATCCTGAAGAGGCATAAACCTCATCCTTTCCTTTTCCGTTCCAATTTGAGCTTTGAACCTCATCCGATAACTTCATCTTGCAGCACAGCAACAGCTGCATCGGGGATAAATGCCCACACACAAAGTGCACTGTTATTGGTGGCAGTGTTTCACTAACAGTGCAGCTGCTCTCTGAAGGGAAAGTGTTCAGAGACAGCAACACAATGCACTGGCAGAATTAAGCACAGTACTGTCCGTGGAACAGGGAGAGACTCCCCACCCCCACCCCAGCCACAAATGGAACCATGAAACATCAGTAATATCTCAACAGCACAAGTAACAAATTTCCCAGGATGCCAGCTAGCGAAATACAGACACTGCAGTTTGATCTAGAATACTCCCGCTGTATTTTGCCTAACTTGGCAAAGAGAACTACTGGTTGTCAATATGTGTTTAGGAAAAGGCGTTTGATTCGGTTGAGTTCCCATATCTTTTTTCTGTGTTAGAAACAATGGGGTTTGGACAGAGATTTTTGTCTACTATTAAAACATTGTATGCTTCTCCCATTACTAGAATTAAAGTTAATGGAATGTGCTCCAAACCCATCCCACTTTTACGTGGTACTCGGCAGGGGTGTCCATTATCCCCCATCCTATTTGCGTTATCGCTTGAGCCACTGGCCAATGCCATAAGAGCACATCCGGACATTGCTGGTATCAAACTACGCACACAGGAACATAAAATTGCTTTATTTGCAGATGATATGGTGCTCTTCTTAACAAACCCCATAGTGTCTCTACCTGCCCTGCAAGAGCTCTTAAATCAATTTGGTTTATTTTCGGGATTAAAGATTAATGACTCTAAGTCACAACTGATGCCAATTCATCTAAATAGCACGGAAGAAAACTTCATAAGGGAGACATTTGAGTTTAATTGGACGACCACAGAGATGCAATATTTAGGTATCAAGATTAGCCTGGATAGCTCTAAAATGTTTTCACTAAATTACTTGACTATGCATGCGGAAATAACTCAAAAGATGAATAAATGGAGTAAATTACACCTTAACTGGTTTGAAAAATATAACTTAATTAAATCCTTTATCTTACCAAAGTTTATTTTTTTATTCAGAACAATCCCTCTTAGTATCCCAAATGCGATGCTCAAAAAATGGCAATCTTCTTTAAAAAATTTCTTGTGGAATAAAAAGAAACCTAGAATAAGCTTCTCAATTTTACGAAGGCCAAAAAATCTAGGGGGCTTTGCTCTCCCGGATATAGCATTTTATCACAGAGCAATCTTGTTAGCTACAGCGGTTAAAATGTTACACACTACTGTAAGACCTCTATGGGTGAATATAGGGGATGATTTGATATTTCCAAAGTATCTAGATAGTGCACTCTGGGCCAAAGAGAAGCTTTCCGCTACGGAGAGGAATGCTATTGAAACCATACTCCCAGCATTCCAATGTTGGAAGAACCATGCTAGACATTCTTTGCCCCCAGTATCACGATACTACACGTTTCTAAACCAGAAATCATTTCCACCTGGATCAGACTCCATGCTTTCAGCAAAATGGAGACTTAAACGCCTTACTCGGATAGGGGATATAGCTGATAAAAACGGTATCATAAGTAAACTTGACCTTGAACGAAAGCTAGGCTCTCCCATACAATGGTACTTGTATTTGCAGTTAAGACACCTGCTTAACAAATTAAATATAAAAGCTACAATGTCCCAAGCTCAAACAGAAATGGAAATCTTGATAAGAGATTCAGATGCACAAAACAAAGGCCTTATTTCAAAAATATATTCTCTGTTAATTAAAAAATCATGCTCTAAACAGCTACCATATCAAAATGCGTGGAAAGGAGACACTACAGAAAATCTCACGGACGAAACGTGGGAACGCATATGGAACTCATCAAGCTTCAAAACAAAAGTAATATCTGTCAGAATACAAAATCTCAAAATAATGTCAAGGTGGTATATCACTCCACTCAGACTTTCCCATATAGCTCCGACCCTATCACCATTGTGTTGGAAGGGGTGTAACCAAACAGGAAGTTATGCGCATTGTTGGTGGCAGTGTGATAAAATTAAGAAATTCTGGCAAGAAATACTAAACGTGATACAAGACATCACCTCAGTCCAAATTCCACTAAAACCGGAAATTTTGTTTTTGAATATCTGGCCTGAAAATTTGAATTCAAGGGTACATAGACGCACAATAGAAGTCCTTCTAGATGCAGCCAAAACAGCAATAGCATTGTACTGGAAGGAGAAAGAGGCACCCTCAGTAGAAATATGGTATAAGAAACTTTGGACTCATTACTTAATGGATGCAGTCTCCAACAAACTAAATTGCATGTCACAAAACCCAATAAAGTCTAATTTCATAGAGAAATGGTACCCAGTGCTAGATTATCTGTCACAAAAACAATTCATCTCATCTGATTGGTCTCAATATCACAAATGGATATAAGATTAATGCAATGTCCAGTTCCGCAAATTCTCATACTTACTTACTTATATCATCTCCACTAGCTCTAATATTTCCTTTTCTTTCTTCCCTTTCTTAACGCTCCAATAGTTCGGGATGCTTCCTAATGTTCCTATCAAGTTTACGCTAAGTCTGTTATCTTTCTACTGAAATCATATTCGGAAGTGTGTTGAGTAATGTATTGTAATTCTTTGAACATGTTATAACGTTGTACATACGCAGGAACTATTTACAGGATGTGAATGTAATTGGAAAATTAATTGTTCACTGTTTGAAGTGTTAGAATTGTTAAAAATTGAAAAAATAAATTAAAAAAAAATTAAAAAAAAAAAAAGGTCTGAATGGTGCTGCGATGCATTAGAATCGTCTGGGAACAATATTCCAGGTTTATTATATCATCAACCCAACCCTTTACACATGTGGGAAGAAGAAATGCCAACAGCTTTAACAGAATTTACCAGTACCAAGTACCAGTACTTAGGATGGCAACATAAGTATACTATTTTATTGACATGGATGAATCCAGTGGTGTGAATTCAGGACAATGGTACTGTTCAATGTCATACAAGAATGACAACAAGTGGATTCTTTGCTGCCTATGAATGGGTTACCTACTTTGTATCCTTTCACTTCGGATTCATTGTTCTGTGCTTTTACTTGATCCCAGTTCAGAATAATCTTGGAGTCTGATGAATTCCAGATGATGTTTCCAGGGGGCTGACTGGGTGCTATATTCAAAAGAGAGGAAGTTGAATATCATGAGGGAGCATCACTTTCCTTATTTTAGTACTAGCGTTGCCTCTGATAGTGCCTCAGGAGCCGTGAACTCTTATGTTTGGAAAGTTAATGAGCTGCTGTACAAATGTGTGTTCAAGTTTAGTAACAGATTTGACATGGCATACATGAATAAGGTAATTGGATGGCAATTCACCATACTGGTGACTTGTAGATAAAGGCCCTACTCTGAAGTGAAAGGCAAACATTTATCTTTCTTGGCCTGCTCAGTTTTCCATTTGCTCTCTCTTGACTAATGTTTAATGTTGCCGTTTTAAAAAACCCCAAGGAATGGGATATCCCCAAACTGGAATGCTGATTCTAAATCTATACCTACCAAAGCTATCCCTTTGCCCATAAGCTACACAGAATGTGGAGAATGTGATCAGTAAATCTGAATGATCACGATCAGATTTCACAATTCCATCTTATGTATCCCATGGCTCAGTGGTTCATAACCGTGACACACCCAGGACTAAATAAGGATACCTTGAGAGACTTTGGGATGGTAGAAGTTAAAATAAATAAATATGTAAATAACAAACATGTGGCACAGCAGGCCTTAGGATCAAACTACTGGAAAGGTCCTTAAAAAGGATGAGTGAGCCCGCTTTTTCCAGCTTGGTGCCTGCCTTCTAGAGGCAAATCACTCTGTTAGAGCAACATAACACAGAGTGACCTAGATGTTTCCTATTATTTATTTATTATAATTGATTTATCGGCCGCCCTTCCCTGTGAGCAGGGCTCAGGGTGGCTTACATCAGAAATCAATATAATTGAGTTAAAACAACATTAAAATATTTAAAAAGTCAGAAAGACAACACTAACTCCAAGATGGCAGTAATTTCCACCAGTCCCCTGGGTGGAGGGAATATGCAGGAATAAAAGGGGAGGTTGAAGTATTATGTACCCAATCCATCTTTGTTTTCTTAAGTGACACTCACGTGGCTTTTTGGTAGTTACGTTGACTACAGCACTGGAAGGTCCCATCCCTGCTGTATTGTAAGCCTTGACAGCCAAGTGGTACAAAGCATTCCCCTTCAAGTGGCTGATTTTTGCAAAAGTCTGGTTGGTCATGGTTCTTATTCTTCCAGCCTGCTCTTCCTTGTCGTCATGTTTCCAGTATCTAACCTGCACAAATAAAACATACATTTTCTTGTTTGAACTTAACACCCACAGTCTTTACATTTCAGAACAGCTAAAAAAATTTCCAGGGGTGTACCTTGTGCACACCCAGTGTTATGCTTGTGCACCTAAACATATGGCTGTTGAAATCATAATCATAATTTCCCTAATGTCATCCAGTTAACTACCCCACTCCCACCCATTATTTAAAAACTACATGAGTGAACATCAGCTTTAAGAACTCACACACACAGGGGTAATTTCCTGCGAGAGCGCACAGGAGCGGAGCTCCAGCAGTAAGGAGCCCAGGGGGCGGGCACATGCAACAAGCCCCACCCCCTGCTCCCAGCAGTTCTCAGTCAGGCCACAAGGAGCAAGAAGCAGCCAGGTAAGTTGCAAAGCCCCCCCCGGCCCGCCTTCAGATACAAGCTCTCCCTCCTCTGTGAGGGCAGATCTGCAATCCCCCCCCCCCAATAGCTAGCAATCCAATGTGCATAAGAAAAATGCAGCTTTTGGCATTCATACTTTGTTGGTGCAGGATGGACATGGGATAATTGCACTTTCCAGGGTTTGCTACTACTTTCACCAGGTATCTTTTAAATTCAGGAGTGAAGCATTACAAGACAAGTTGAGTATGGGTGGGGAACGCCTGACAGATGTACCTGTGTGAACGCCCATTTAATCCAGTTGTGGAACGTTTCTGAAACACGCGTATATCGGGGCAAACTGCCAGTCTGAACCCGGCCATAGAAAGGGCTTTCTCTTTTTCTCGTCTTTTTTTTTGGTGTACAAAGCTATTATCAGCTTTTGGAAACTGCTGGAGGACAATTATAATCACCCTTTTTAAAAGGAGAGCCAGTTTGGTGTAGTGGTTAAGTGTGCGGACTCTAATCTGGGAGAACCGGGTTTGATTCCCCACTCCTCCACTTGCACCTGCTGATGTGACCTTGGGTCAGTCACAAGCTCTGGCACAGCTGTCCTTGAAAAAGAGCAGTTTGTGTCAGAGTTCTCTCAGCCCCACCCACCTCACAGGGTGTCTGTTGTGGGGAGGGGAATGGAAAGTAGTTTGTAAGCCGCTCTGAGACTCCAAGTGAAGGGCGGGGTATCAATTCAATCTCTTCTCTTCTTCTTCTTCTTCTCACTGATACCAACTGTATTCATCTATGTTTTTCTGAGCAATAAGAATAGCAGTTTTCAGTAACAGATCTGCAAAAGGAATTCATTATGCATCTTATACTGTGACCATTTCCACAGTAGTGAAATTCCCCACATTATTTTTAAAACTGCTTGTTATGTGAAATTTTCCACAGTAGATTTTTCCTCACCAGGTGCAAACATGACATTTTCTCCTTCTTACCCCGCATTTTCAGAATCCCCAGTTTTAGCAAGTTCCAAAAATGCAGAGTGAGGAAGAGAAAACTTTGGGTTTGCGCCTGGTGAGGAAAATATCTACTGAGGAAACTTTCACATAACAAGCAGTTTTTAAAACTTCAATGTGGGGAATTCTACTACTGTGGAAATGGTCTGTTTTAGAATAAAGGTCCTAATATTGTCCATGGAGCCATTAGGTAGTTGAAGAGGACTGCTTGTTTCGCGCTGATGCTCCTACCTCGTAGCCCTGTATCCTTCCTTTACTCTGGGACTCAGGCAGCAAGGACCAAAACACTTCTACTTCTGAAGAGGAAAGGCTTCTGGCGATGACGTTGGTTGGAGCTCTGGTGGGTTCTAAAGAGGAGCAGTAATGGTTAGCTGTAGGTTCACTTCTACGATCACAGTTCTTCATCAAGACAACTGGTGTTTTTTTGCAGTTCAGTACTCAACTTTGGATCTAGGAATCTGTGTGACATTAAGCAAGCTAGAGGTTCGGATCATGCTATCTTCTTCCTTGAGATGTTGACTGTACCCAAACCTGACTGGCAGATGTTTACAGAGTCTTAAGTAGAGCCTTTTCTTTCTCTTTAATTACAGAGTGATGCCTTCAGAGATGAAAACTGTACTCTGCAATCGGACCATGTGTCTCTACTTTGATGGAGTATCAGCTTGAGATAATTAATAAAAAGATGCTGCTGCCAAATGTATATAATTGCACTATGTGTTGCTACACTGAGAAAAGAAGGACCAGTTTGGGGTCAGAGGACATTTCACACTAATAGTGCAGTGCAAAGCACCATTCCAAGCCTGTTAACTACAGTTGACTTGGGTTGCAAATTCTAAGAATACCTTCCTGAAACTAACCCGTTGACTAGAATGGGAATTACTTCTGAGTGGGCCTGCTTTGGACTGCTCTTTGTAACACTGCTTAGGATTTCACTGTAAATCTCAGTACACATACATCTATTTAATGGAAACATAAAACTGTACTATTACAATCCTAATATCTAAGAAGAGATTTAAGCTCAGTATACAAACATACTACTAAATAAATGTATGCCTCATCACAGAATAAACACAGTGTCATTAAACATCAAAAGAAAAAAATGTTTCAAACATCCTGATGTGGTATCTTGGGGGGAAAACCCCCCGTCTTAAGCAGCTAAAAATTATGAGTTCCTTAAAAGAAAGATCTCACACTTTAGGTTAATGCAATTAATTAATTAACATCAACAACTATGTCGTCCTAAGCAGCATTCAGTTATGTCAAATACAATGCCATCCTGAACAATGTCCAATTAAGAGCTGTCAATAGATTGAATTCTCAGACTGGAAACATGCAGTTTATTATAAATCACAAGCAGGCTTGGCCGTCAACACAATCCCAGGAATCAGTACAGCCTAGATTACCTTCATCTGCTGAATAGACAATTGTGACGGGACTGAAAGAACCTTCGCCTTTGTTGTTGTACACTCCCACTCTGACCTCATAGGGGAAGAATGGTGGCAAACTTTCATTCCTAAAGACGTATCTGGAGGCGTCGGGAGAAGCTACTACAGTCTGCATCCAACTTACGGTACCAAAAGGACGGAAGGCTACGACATAACCAAACCCACCTCCATTCTGTAACTCTTCGGGAACTGTCTGTCATGGGGAGAGAAAAGAGAAAAATCACAGAAACAGCCTGATGTGTACGGATTTTCAAAGAGGCTCAGTAAAGCTTAAGTCCCTAAAAGTAATGGATCTGCATAGTGCAATTTGGAAGCATAATGCCTGGCAAAGGAAATAAACATTCAACTTGAAAAGCGTTGAATGTCTCAGTTCTAATTTGTTTCAGAACTTCTGAGTGCTTTTTATAGTCTGTTTTCTCCACTGAAAGCATCTAATACTAAAATTGGGCAAGTCCAATAAGGAACCGTGCGCAGCTCTAAACATAATGGACAGCTAGCAATCAGGCATCTAACTGCCATCTGTAAGGCGGTTCCTAGAGTCTGAATGAATCCAATAAATGTATAGACTAGGATCCAAAAAAGATATGCATATGTTTAATGCCCTTTCCTTTTTCTGCAGTAAAAACTTTAGACACACATTCATTCTGGGTCAGCACCTAGTTCCTCTTTCTGGTTATAGCAAAGGCTCTAGTCAGGCTACCCCAATCTTGGAAGCTAAGGAGGGTCTGCCCTGGCTAGTATTTGGATGGGAGACCACCAAGGAACACCAGGGTCCTGACACTGAGGCAGGCAATGGCAAACCACCTCTGAAGTCTCTTGCCTTGAAAACCCCACAGGGTCGCCATGAGTCAGCTGTGACTTGACGGCACTTTCTATGTTCAATGTGGTTCAGAACTCTGGATTTGTGAGGACTCTCTCTGAGTTTTACCAGTATCCCATTCTCCTCTCCTGTATTCATTTTACTAGACACGCTAAGTGGCTAGCTTTGAAGCAAAGGGCATGACCTACTTCAAGTATGTGATGAACCCCAGTACTTTGTTAGTCTTTCAGGTGCTACCGGACTCTTGCTCTTTTTTTACAGTATGGCAGTGAATCTGCACGGAAGCACAATTCAAACTAGCAGGCAAATGCTGCCTGATGCCAGAAACTGACACATCACATCCAGGTCATTGGTGCCTGTGCTGCAGTGATCTCATCCTGTACATCTTGAGTCTCAGGAAAGAAGCTGAACATCCTTACTGCAGACTTCCGTGCTTTTCCAGACTGCCAGTTCAGCATGCCCTAGCATATGTGGAAATGGTTTGGGGCTTATGCGTTCCTCAATCAGAACGACAATGTGGCTGTCCACTCATTACGGATTTCTTAACAATCCCCAAACTTGTGCAACTGTGGTCACCTTAAAAATTGCCTCTTATGTTTCTTGCAAATTATGGTTTAAAGTTATGGATGATGTTTTCGGCAACTGGCTCATTTTTAACACTTCTTTTATTTTTAGTAGTGGAAGGCAGGACATTAATCCAATTAGTCACACGAAGGATGGAAATTCAGCACGCCGGGCAATGAGGCAAGTGCTGAAAAACAAAATATTGCTCCTGTTTTGTTGTTCTGTTTGGCAATGCTGAACTATAATAACATGTGTCCCAAAAGCATTAGTGAGAAATGCATTTGCATTATGCGATTACATTTCACACTAAATCTTCTGGGAACAAATGAGGTTTGCTTTTGGCTATCTGTAGATGAAAAGAAGAAGATAATAGGGTCTGGGGAAGTATTGCTAACATGCACCAATAAGAAGCCTCTGTATAAATTACTGGCTTTTGGGTTGAGGACTTCTCAGAGCATTGTCAGACAATCTCAGGGACTACACAGCCCTCTCCCAGCCCCCATGAGGCAGAATGGCCCTATATCGCTCACCATTCCATGAAGATTTAAAAATCACCCTTTCAAGTTGCAAATACTGTCTGTAACCATCTTAAATGCATCTACACTTGCGCAAGATCTTGTTGTACATTACAATTTAGAATTTCTTCAGGGAAAAATTATGTTTGTCTTGAAAGGTATGCTTGCATAGTAAGTCTGGGTGTTTATTTGTATTTCTAGCTAGGTAGTTACACATTCTGGAGCTGCGGTGGCTCAGTGGTTAAGATGCTGAACTGCAGACTGGAAGGTTGGTAGTTCAGCAGTTCGAGACCGGAGTGCCGTGTGACGGAGTGAGCTCCCGTCTCTGGTTCCAGCTCCTGCCAACCTAGCAATTCGAAAGCAAGAAATTGCAAGTAGATAAATAGGTACTTTGGTGGGAAGGTAACAGCGTTCCGTGCGCCTCGGCGTCTAGTCATGCCGGCTACATGACCATGGAAACGTCTTTGGACAGCACTGGCTCTTCGGCTTGGAAACAGAGATGAGCACCGCAACCCCAGGGTCAGATTCGACTGGCTTTCGAGCAAGGGAAACCTTTACCTTTACTAGTTACACATTACATTGGCATCAGTAATGATAAATATGTATTCTCTTCCACTCCTGATATCTCCCCCCCCAAAAAAAACCCCTGAATATGTCTTTCTGCTCCTCTTTGCTGATAGTCAATGCTATAGTCCATTCAGATCTGGAATTTACAGTCATTACAATCATTCTCTAAGAGATAAGACGATGCAGTGCGTGCATACTTGAAATGCTACCTGATGCTCATGGTCAATTTGATATTAAAACAGAGAAATCATTTCCCTCCGAATTCGTAGGTGACTTACCTCCCATGTTATGACCAGCTCAGCCTTAGTACCACCACCTCCACTGACATTAGCTGGGGTGACTTCAGGAACTGTATTGTATAACAGAAGCCAAAAATACTGGTGAGTATTCAGAGGCAGGAAGAGCTTCTTTGTCTTTATTTTATTTTAAACAGATTTTTAAGCTTATTTTTTTATATAGCACAGCTCTTTGATGACTTTGAACTTTTAAATATAAGAATTCAGGTCACTGGTTCCATATCTGGTGGCTAAGATTTTAGGTAAGGGAAACTGAGTTTTCTGAGCAGCAAAGTAAGAGAGCTTGTTATATTACCAGACTAGGAAAAAGGCCCGTTGTGGAA